AATATGTTTAAATTTTTTATGATTTTTATTTCTGTGTACTTTTAGAGCGTGTTACAGTTTATGTATTGAGTACGTTTAAAAAAAAAACGTTTTTCTCATGCTTACCTTTTTGGTTCCATTGCAATTTCGTTTCATCTATATGTTTTTTCAATCTATTTTTCTTTACATTATATTTTCTTTTTGCAATTACGTAATTACGGGATTTTTTTTAATACATGTATAACTATTTCGAAGGCGTTCTTATAACACCTTCAACTTTGTTTATTTCGTTCGGTTTGTTGTTTATGATATCCACGACCAGTGAGTAATCCTATGTTTATCAGTTTTAACAGCATTTCTGTCTCATCACTACTTATGCTAACACCGTCGATGCAAACTACAACAATGCGACCATATTCAAACGATTCTAATCCTGGAAAACACCGTGATCAACGTGCGGTCATTACCACACCAGATATTTTACACCGCCGATCACCCGAAGCAGACAACACCGAATCACAATGACGACGCCAACACCGGACACCACCACCACGGACATCAGCACTACGGACACCACAACCACCACGGATGCCACGCACCACGGGCAGCAGATCCGACACCTTGAGATTGCCGATCGCCGCCGTCGCCTAGCAACCAGGTTCAACACTCCAGGAAGACCAGTTCTCGGAGTCTCCCCGATGCCATGTTCGCTCACGCTTACACCTCCACCCCCCACCGACATCCACCCCCGCCTACTTCCCCAGACGGACCCCAGACGCCCACATTCCCACTCCCGAATATACCTCGTATTATGTTTCCCCCTACCCCTACACGCAACCCCAACCTGCTACTTCGGCTTCGGACGTCTTACTACCACCACATGGAGTCCTGGCATCGACGCCTTGATGTTCTGGAGCAAGGAACTCCAACGTTACATCATCCGAGAGCAGCCCTAATCACCCAACACCAGACAGTTGAGACCAGACCACTAACACGGAGAAGCCCCACGAAGATGAACCGACGGAGCCACGGAGATACTCCCACGGACAACTAAAGACGACGGATTAATTAAGGAATAATTAAGCTAGTTAAGTTTTTGGAAGAGGGGATTAACACACTATTTTTTCAAAAAAAAAAGGACATAACATGAATAAAAAACGTACAATATAACCTTAAAGTTCTACGCTATAGAATATAGCTCTTAAACTTTTTCATAAAGAGGGGAGTAGTGTAATGAAGCTAAAGTCATTACGATATAGAGCGACGCCGCAGGACAGGCACGGTTCTTGACTACGTCTATGTCGAGGCTAAGATCCGACACAGGGACTCGCCTCAGGCACTTCGTCACTCGTTTCGTTATAGGCAGTTCGATACGAGTACTGCAAGTAC